TGCTACCAAAACCTCCTCAGAGTTCAGAATGGCTGAACCCTTAGGGGCAGAAGAAAGAAGAGAGAGTGGGCGTATTAGGTGTGGTATGAGAGAGGTCTCCATGGCCCTGTTTTCTCGCCCAGGCTTCATCACCCTGTGCCTCTTCCAGTCTCCCAGGCTGTGCCCATGTCTCCCACGTGACACCTTTAGGGCTCAGTTTTCTCCCTCCCCTTCTTTCTAAGGGAATGCCGAAAGGGCCTGGACTCCTAAATAATTTAGCAACTGTGAGTCTAAGAGACCCCACTGCTCCCTGTGAGAGTCTTTAATTAAGGAGCCTTACCAGATACTTCTTATGATGTGACCCTCAAGCTGCAAACCTATGCCATTTCCCACTCACGTCAAACTTTGCATTCGCTGGAAATGCAGTTCCCCCAACGAGACCTACTGAGACAGACACCTGTGTGCGTGCGCAAGGATTGCCGCTGCGACACGCTCTCCGTGAGATTTTAAGAACTATTAAAGTTTGTAAAGTACCTCTTCTTCTACTTGTCTAAAGTCATTCCTGAGAATTTCTGCTTAAAATTCCATCAGGTTGCCCTCTCAGGGCACAATCTCTTTCCAATGGCCATTCAAAAATCCAGGAACACCCATCAACAGATTTAAAACATGAAACTATATTTATTGTAGTTTCCAATTCTGATTCCAAACTACAACCAGATTTTGGAAGGAACTTTAAAAAACAAATGATCTCTTAGGTTCTGTTTTGTGGCTCATAGGAGTAACTATGCATTAGAGCCCATCTTATGTAGAACTGGCTCCCAGAAACGCTGATGCCTGGGCTGACCCCCCGAGTGCGGGGTGGGTTGGGGCTGCAGGTTGTATCGCTACACGACTGCCCCTCAGGCTGCCAGCCCTGGGGTGTGAGGGGGCAAACAACCTGTGATATTATGATTTATCTTGTTTTTCTCATCTTCCTAAATATCTTATTAGGACAATTTCAGGTAGAATTTATCCAAAATAAATTTAAGGAGACAAAGCATTAAATACACTACGTTAGGAATATATATAGTTGTCTGTGTGCTTGCTTTCTGTACTGTTTATTGCACAATTGGATTCCTGCAATGGCTCTGAATCCAGAAAAATGTGCAGCCTTTTTGCACAGCGACCTTGCTCGCAGACTCTCTCTTTACTAACCTGCCTGTCTGCACTGTGCTCCTGCCATCCTGGCCAGCCCTTAGACAGGAGTCCTGGAATGCTATTTCAACCAGTAGGAGTGAGGCTTTCCACATCCTATCACAGCAGCTGCACTCTGACCAACCAGGGAAGTCCCTGTTGGGCCCATAAAAATGCAAGGATTTGGCACCCTCGTTTGCATGAGGATGGGCCAGTTAAGGACCAGGGATCAGAGGCTCCTGCTCAGGTGGGCTGGATTCCCTGTGGCTCAGCGAGTGCACTTGCTGCTGAAGGATCAAGACTGTCTCCAGGTTCAGCTGAAACCCCGAAGTGGTCTCGCCAGAGCAGAGGGAAGCTGACCCGTGCACATTGAGGTGGCCCAGGGAGGCACAAAGCACACAGCATAGATGAACTGAGCAGAGCAGTCTAGCCAGAGCGGCCTGGTCCGGGTCCACGCGGTCCCAGAGCTGCTCTGCGCCCCCACTGTGTTCACAGCTCTGCTGCATCACAGCTGAGCTCTTCCACAGCAGCGCTGTTTTCATAGTCACACTGTCTCACTGATGTTGGGTTGAATAAAATTTTCCTCTTTACCACACCCGAAACTGGGGCTCTTTGTTGGCGTTATTTTGGCCCTAATGACCATAGGTTTACCAGGTGCAAGAGAGGACATTGGGAAAGGATAAAGGGAAGAAGGGACTGCAAGAAAACCCGACCCTGTCCCACTGTCCTGCTCAATTCCTATCATTAACATTCTCTTTAGAAGGTCACCAGAGGGCGCTGTGGATCTTCTCAGAGCTGCAAGGATGAAACAAAGTGAAATGGCTCTTATGGAATGGGCCCTGAACCATGCTCACTGGCCTGAGCTAAAAGTGACAGCAGGTGCTTCCTCTCAAGGGACAGACTCAGAGCTCACAGACTCAGAGGCTCAGAGGCCCTGGCCTCTTCCTGAGAGTGAAGCTACAAACTGGGCAGAGGACCCAGAATCGGGTGTGTTTGTGGGCTCATATTTGCATAATGCCCCACCAAACACACCCTTTACCCTGGAGACTAGCAGAGAACAGAAAGGACACCTGAGTGACCAGCATCAGCATGAGACCAAAGGACTTTAGAAAGTTTTTGCAATACCCAACCTCCTCTCCACCTTCTCCCCTTCTTCATTCACTGCCCAGAGGGGCCTTTGGAAGGATCCCCTGCTTGAATCCTTCCTTTTTGACATGTGTCTCTTTCCACTGAAAGGTGCAATTCCCAGGCTGCAGTAACTCACCGGCACTCATTGACCATGTCCCCAGGAAAGATGTTCCCTCTCACCTGTGGTTCCGGCACAGGAGCAATCACCAACTGTCACTGTTTGGAAATGGTCAAGCAGTAGTTTGGCCAAGTCCCCAGAACATTGATTTATGATACAAGCCATAAACCCTCCTGAAGCCTTGCCTGGTTCTCAGACTCCCACGTTTGAGGCAAAGCTGCCGAGGCCTTCTCCAGAGCTCCAGCTAAAGGAAAGTGGGCACGGCAGAAGGGCCCAGTGGTGAACCAGGACCTACTTCTGGGCTTTTCCGGGCCTGGTGACCTATGTGGCTACTTGCCATGGGGATCACGTGACCAGACACCTGTGCTCTCAAGGCAGCCTGATGTTGACCATCCCAAGGGAGAATAGCGAGGGGAAGGGTCTGAATTATCTCCCATTTCTCTGTGAGAAAAACAATGAAAATCATGGACAAACGAGTTAGGAGCGACTTGTCCTGAAAGAGTAGAATTCAACTACCCTTTGTTCAAAAATTAGCGGTTACATGTATATCAAATCTAAGGCCTGAGGTGAAATGAGTTTCACCTAATTGAAAGCAAAAAACAAAAAACAAACAAACAAACAAAAAACAGCCCACATGTTATATATTATAGATGCTTGTGTTCTGGATTCATTGAAACAGAATTTGAGTGTATTCTTAAATCTTTTAATATATTGAAAACTATAATTTGGGAAGAAAGGATTATTCTTATCTAATACAATGAGTTAACTTATGCCCCTGAATAAGATGTGCTGAGTTCTATTCCCAGGACCTGAGAATATACCTTTATTTAAAAACAAGGTCTTTGCAGATGTAATCAGTAAAGGCCGTACTTGGGTAGGGAGGCTTTTTAATGCAATAGGACTAATTTCTTTTTAAGAAGAGGCCCTATGAAGACTGGGCAATGCAGCAAGAACATCCTGGGGGGGTGGAGGCAGAGACTGGACGTAGGCCAGGGAAAGCCACCAGTAGCCAGGAAGAGGCCAGGGAGGATTCCCTACAGGATTTAGTGGGAACGCGATCCTGCACACCACATTTTGGACTTCCAGCCTACAGAGTGGTAAGAATAAAGTTCTGCTGTTTATAAGCCCCCCAGTATAAGGTAATTTGCTATAGCAGTGGAAACAGACTAAGACAGATACAGATGCTGAGAGGTGAGGGTTCTGCTGTACACAATTCCTAAGTGTTCTAACTTCATACCGTAGGGCCAGGAGGAGAATAGTAGAACTCTACACAAGGGAGTGGCCAAGTGACCAGCTTGATAAAAAGGTAAGTATGGATCAGCCATCTGCTTGGAAGCGAGGAGCTTTTCTCCAAGAAGATGAAAGAATTACCTCGCCCTGGCCAGGTAGCTGAATTGTTGTAGCATTGTCCCAGTACACCAAGGTCGTGGGTTTGATCCCCGGTCAGGCAGGGCACACACAAGAATCAACCAGTGAATGCATCAAAAAATGGAACAAAATCAATGTTTCTCTCTTTTTCTCTCCTCTCCTCTCTCATCAATAAATAAAAATTAAATATATATACTAATATATATATTAGTGTATATATATATACTAATAGATGAAAATAAAATAAATAAAAATAAAAAAATAAAAATAAAGTAAATTTAAAAATAAAATAAAAATAAATATACATCTATTAAATCATAAATATATATGGTTACTTCAAGGGTGGTTTGGAAATCATCAGAGCTGAAACTGTCATCAAAGCCCAGAGTCCTAGGGCTGGAGGAGGCAGAGAGGATTCAAAAGCGGGGGCTCGGCACCTTCTGGACGTTGGCAGGTGCCGCCCGGGGCTGCCTCATATCACCTGTTCTGCTCTCTGCACTCCAGCGCCCTGCTCTTCGCTGCCCTGTTGCCGGGGCCCCATGACATCAGGAGCCCTCAGGCCTGGGGAATCCGCTGGAGGCCTGCCCCTGCTCCGGTCCTCCCGTTCCAGTGACACTTGTCTGACCTGGCCCCCTTCCCGTATCCAGTCTGCTCTCGGTGCCCCTCATGTGACGTCACTCCATGGCAGTCCTCAGCTCTCCTGGGTCAGGCGTCATGTGTGCCCGAATCCGTGACGGTCACACCTGGATTGTGCCTGCATCGTCCCCTGTAGGGAAAACCCATATGTGTTGGAAACCCAGGAGTGAAGGAGACAGGTGAAGACTAGTGTTGGATCAGCTTGATAGAGGAGCAGTTTGCCTGGGGGCCAGCAGAGGGCGCGGGGAGACTGTCTGGGCACAACAGGAGCTCCTGGCTAAGGCAGCCCTCTGGTGACAGGAGGCCTCAGGCCTGGGCCCTTTGCTTCCTGTGAGGACAGGGCATGGCCTGTCCTCTCTGGGCCTGGCCCAGTTCCCTGCACATGGCCCTCTCTGTGGTCCCAGCAACTACTTCCTCTCAGCCTTACCTATGGGGAAACCAGTGCATCAGGCTGGCCTCCTGGAGCAGGGGCTCCAGATCCTTGAGTGACCCTGGGGAAAAGGCAGGGCATAGGGACGTATTTGCATGAGCAGCCCCTCCTCTGTAAAGCCAACTGGAAGGGGATAAGAGAGGCCTAAGCAGCCCAGTCTCAGCTCTGTGGACTAAGGAGCAGCCGTGCTCACCATGGCCTGGGCCCCTCTCCTCCTTGTGCTCCTCTCTCACTGCACAGGTAGGGACAGGACTCAGGCACCCGCAGCACCTGTACCCTGACCCTTCTGTTCCCTCTGATCTCTCTGTGTTTGCAGGTTCCCTCTCGCAGCCTGTGCTGACTCAGCCGCCCTCTGTCTCTGCATCACCTGGATCAACAGCCAAACTCACCTGCACCCTGAGCAGGGACCTCAGTGTTGGTGGTAAAAACATATACTGGTACCAGCAGAAGCCAGGGAGCCCTCCCCGGTATTTTTTGTACTACTACTCAGACTCAGACAAGCAACTGGGACCTGGGGTCCCCAGTCGAGTCTCTGGATCCAAAGACGCCTCAACCAATGCAGCGCATTTGCTCATCTCTGGGCTGCAGTCGGAGGACGAGGCTGATTATTACTGTCAGGTGTATGAAAGTAGTGCTCAGCACAGTGACAGAGACAGATGAGGAAATGTGACAAAAACCCAGAGCCTCACTGGGTCCCAGCCTCTGACACATTTATGAGATGGTAAACAACCTACCGATAATGACAACAGAGCTAAGCCCTGGGGTGTCTGGTTGAAATGCTGCCACACTATAGCCCTGTCCCATTTTATAAAAAATGTTTATGAGGATCTTTAACATTTAACAAACTAAAATTTATATCAATATAATAACAACAATGACAGTCGAAAACGGGCAGAATTGACAACACATTTTCAAAAGTAAAAGACCAGTGGAAGAGAAAGTGGAATCCATCCATATGGCAATCCCCAGGGCCCCAGTGATTCTTAGGGAAGATCATGCATGCCAGCGTGTGTGTGTGTGTGTGTGTGTGAGAGAGAGAGAGAGAGAGAGACAGTCTGACAGAGGTTAACCAGATGATTAGCACAGCCCTCAAGCTTTGCCTTGTTTCTCCCAAGGAGAAAGTTAACCACAGAGAGAAATCTTCCTACGTGTCTTTCCTGCAAGAATACAATTTGATCGGAGATCAGCGTCAGCCACCAGGGACCAGCCGTGGGCCTGCATGTGAGAGGCTGTGTTCTGCGAATGCTCTGTATTTAAGATAAAATGACATCATTCAGTCAAACGTATAAGTAGCCTTGGTAGCTTTGCAGACTGGCACTCACACATTTATATTTTTTGATATATCATTTTAAAAGTTCGTACTCTTTAATTTTTCAGAGTCTGCCAAAATATCTACATTGGTAACAGAGTCCTGATGGTGCACTCCAATTAGAAATTGCTGTATTTCTCATGAAGAATAATTAGAAGGTTTTAAAATTTGTTTTCCCTGGACTTTAAACCACTTTGGAACGCAAAACAAATACGCTGTCCCTCATGAGATCTTTCTACATCAACTTAATTTCCAATAAAAATAGGCAAAAACCTTAGATTATGAGAATAAAGTCAATTTATTTTAATTCATGATATTGTAAAATATTTTTAAGATTAATCTATATTTTGCATGATTTAATTTTCCTAGAGGTTTATGTAATTTTTTTTTCATTTTTTCAATTACATTTTGCCTTCCATATTATTTTGTATTAATTTTAGGTATGTAGCATGGTGGTTAGACAATGATGGATTACGGTTTCCTCCTGGTATTTCCAGCACACAGCTGGCACCATACATAATTATTGCAACATTAGTGACTATTTTTTGTATGCTGTCCTTTGCACGCCCATATCTCTTTGAAACTACAGATCTGTACTTCCCTTCACCTTTTTCACCCAGCCTTCTAAGCCCCCATCCCCCGAGGCAACCATCAGTCTGTTCTCTTTATCTACGAGTCTGTCTCTGTTTTGTTTGTTCATTTATATTGTTCTTCGCATTCCACTTAGGAGCGAAATCATATGGCATTTGTCCATCTTGACTGACTTATTTCACTTAGCATAATACCCTCCAGTTCCATCCATTTTCTTGCAAATGTTAAGATTTCATTCCTTTTTAAGGCTGAGTAATGTTATACAGTATATACGTACCACCTGTTTTAATCCACTTGTTTGTTGATGGCACTTAGTTTGCTAACACTCAATGAACATAGTGGAGCATATACTATTTCGAACTAGTGCTTTCATTTTCTTCAGATATATGAGACTTATTCAGAAAGGATCCAGGCATGCACTATGAGAGATAAAACTATTTCTTGAGGAAGAAAAAAGATACAAGAAACATTGTACATAAGACAGTGAACCTCAGTCCGCTTCAAAGTAGGCACCTTGGGACCTCACACAGTTCGCCCAATCAGCATCAGCTACCCAACCGTATTTCCCTGAATCTCTTCGACAGTCTGAAATCCCTTCCCTTTCAAAGGTGACTTGAGTTTTGCGAAGAGCCAGAAGTGCCAGGACACCAAATCTGGACTGTAGCGGGGCTGAGTCACCTGAGTGATATGAGGTTTTGCCACAAAACTCTGCATGAGACATGACGCACAACCAGGCACATTGTCATAATGAAGCTGCCAATCACCAGTTGTCCACACCTGGGGCCTTCTGAATCACCCGAAAAAGTTCAGTAGAGGAATGGTCAAGCGTAACACAAAACGTGATGCAGATTCAGTGCTCTACTCATTCAGAATGCAACGGCCACACAGTACACACGCTCTCTCAGTGGCATCTACTGCCCCCACTGACTAGTACAGTCAAGTCATCGTTGTTCACTCTAGCACATTCTAGTCCACTCCTCTGGGCTACCGGGTTACATAGATGTCATGTAAACCATTCTGTTTACATTAACAATGGTTGGACTTTTTCTGGACAGACGTGTATGCCCAGAAGTGAAATCAGGATCATAAAGCAGCTCATTTTTAAACTTTCTGAGGAGCCTCTGTCCTGTTTCTGTAGTGGCTGCACCTGTCTGCATCCCATCAAGAGTGCACCAAGTTCCCTTTTCTCCTCATCCTCACCAGCATTTCTTGTTTGTTGATTTATTGATGCTTGCCATTCAGACAGCTGTGAGGTGACATCTCTTTAAGTTTAATTTGCATTTCTCTGACGATAAGTGGTGTTGAGCATCTTTTCATATGTCCATTGGCCATCTCCATGTCCTCTTAGAAAAAGTGTCTGTTCAGGTCCTTTGTCCAGTTTTTAATTGGATTGTTTGTTTTCTTGGCGTTGAGTTGTACGAGTTCTTCATGGATTTTGGATATTAACAACTTACCAGATGTATAAATTGGCGACTATGTTCTCCCATTCTGTGGGTTGTATTTTCATTTTCTTGATGGATTTCCTTCACTGTGCAACACTTTTTACTTTGATGTAATTCTATTGGTTTATTTTTTTTTCTTTTGTTTCCCTTGCAATAGGACACACTGACGCTCCAGGTGCTGGTGAGCACCCTGCATCAACGTCGTATTTCTGAGATAAACTGCACAGCCCAGAGCAGCTCTCACTTGGCTCAAGCAACATCTTTCGAGAGCCACACAGGTATTTGCCCCCCGCTCTCTCCTGATTTCGGCATTGTCCTGGGCTCCTGAAGCCCTGGGTTCTTCTGCCAGGGCCACTGTACCAATCCCTCCATTCTCTACAGGTCATGAGGAGTGGTGGGGCTGGAAGGGGGGTTATTTAATGGGGTCACACTTTCTGTTCAGAACGATGAAAAAGGTCTGGAAATGGACAGCAGCAATGGTCACACAGCGTTGTATACATACTTACCGCCTCTGAGTAGGACACAAAGTACTGATGGGGTTGGATGGGAGGAGACCGGCTCCCACACACAGAGGGGAGTTGATATCTGGGTAATTTGACGAACTGCACTAGATCAGCTGATGGCCCAATCAGGCTGCCAGTTGTGGGTAAGTACGAGGACACGGGCTCTGTGCCCTGGAAAAGCTGGAATCGGGATCTGATTGTCAAGGTCAGCAGCTTGTGATGCTTCCAATCAAGCAGAACGCAGAAGTTCCTGGCAGCCTTTCTGAGGATGCTGAAAGCTGATTCTGTCACCTCAGGTGAAACCCTCAGAATCAGACAGAAAGGAATTGAAGAACAGGAGATACTTCCAGGATTCCTACCACGCAATCCTAATGATTTTTTCAATCTGGACACACATTTAAGGTCAAGCTGCTGATTATACAACACGGATCGAACAGATTATAAGGCGATGCTGCGTACTCACGGCTGTGTTTGAGGAAGTCACAATGACACCCTTAATTTGGGTGGTGGACAAAAAATCAGGAGGAAAAACTAAGACTTGACACTGTTTTGTGGAACTAGATCAAGTACGCGGTCACTTAAACACACAGGAACCATCGCTCTTGAGACTTTAAAGTCTTCCCTCAGATCTTACCTAAGGTCGATTTACCTTAGGAGGTGAGGGTAAGACCAGTGCAATTGGGAAAGTTCTGAAATGGGTTCCAGACAAAAACAGCATTTTCCTGATGGCTCGGCACAATCCTGTGAGGAAGGTCGACTGCAGAAGCCTCCTTCACCCACCTGCTCTCCTTCTGCCCACTGACAAACCACTCCCACATTCCGCAGACTAAACTCACAGCAGGCGTCCACACTATGTGAGCTTTCTTGAACTGAGAGCTCAGTCACTGTGGAATTTTCCCAAGATACTTTCCTTCCACTCCCAAGCTGCTTCCTTGCACAGATGTGGCGATAGCTTTGTAAGTGATGTGGAGGCAAGTGGTTGCAATAATGAAAACCTACAGAAGTTTAAAACTTTTAATTTCCCATATATGCATACATAGTCATTTTTCCGCAAACAGATCAGTCTGAGTGTGCGAGAGTGTGTGCACTTGTTACACATACAATCATCATGTTAAGAATATATTTAATTTTTTAAATAGTACATGAAAGATTGCTGGAGTTTTACATAAAAAGGACAAACAACACATTAAAATGGGGAAAAGATCTCAATGAACAGTTTGTAAAGGGAAATTTACATGGTGCCAAGAAGCAAATGAAATAAGTCCTTGGCAAATGTTACCAGGAAAGAGAAAATTACAACTATAGTGAGATAAACATATGTACCAAGTATAAAAAATAAATTGATAAATTAGACTTCATAAAGTTTAAATCCTCTGCTCTTTGAAAGACACTGTTAATATAATGACAAGATAATTGATAAACTGAGGAAATATTTATGTGAAACCATATCTTTAAGAGAGGACTTGTATCAATAACATATACGGAACTTCAATAATTAGAAGTCAATGCAATTAAGTTTGGGCAGAAACTTTACCAAATTTGGTATCTGATGCAAAATGAAAAGACAGGACAAGATGTTCAACATCATCACGTAATAAGGAAATAGAAATTAAAACAAGAATAGCACTACACACACGTAAGAATGGGCGGAAATAGAACGCCTCCCCATGCCAGGTTTTGGAGCGTGCGCGGCCCAATAACTCGGGTCCGCTTGAGGTGGGAGTGTGAAATCAGTAAACTGCTTCTGAAAATAGTTTGACAGTTTTTAATAAGGTTGAATGTACTCCTCCCTTATGATTCGGCTGTTTCACTTAAC